AGTGGAACAAATTTTCCTTTGACTGCACCTGCAAACTTGTTTTCCAACAAATTTTGTGGAGAGTGTTTGTTCCGTTTGTTGTTGTTTTGTATGAAACTTGAATTTTGGTAATGGGGGTTGGGTGGTAGAAGTTTTTCTTGAGCTGCATGAAATTCAATACCAATATGGAGAATAGAGAACATGGTGTTCACTGAAATTTGGTTTTAGTGAAATAAAATAAAATAAAACTTTTAAAAAGTATACAATTTCTCATTTGCAGAAATGTTATGAATCTTTATTTGACGATTTCAATTCTTTCTGTTTCAAATACGAGTAAGATGTGTAAATTATTCGCAATAAATATATTTTACTAAATAAAAATACATCAAAAATAACTATTTTTGATTAGAAGGTTCTTGAAAAAAAATAAGATTTTTAGTTGAGATGTTTTCGGAAAAAATTCACGGTATTTTTAAATACAATTTATGGAGAAAATTCTTATTTTTTATTCTACCTCCCTGTGGCCCTGTAATAACGTTGATTTTTTTTTTTTTTTAAAAACAGTCCTTAAAAAATATTTTTAAAATTCACTAGACCATAGAAAAAATATTTAATAATTTACGACTCTTGGTTCAGGGGCACAAATTCTTAAAGAAATGTCCTATTGCAGTTAGAAAATCATTGAAAAATCATCAATCCATAAACTATTTAAAACACAAGGAGACCTTGCAATATTGTTAAACGTTCATGATTTTCGGTAAGATGGTATCTAAAAAAAAAGTTTTCCAAAAAAAAAAGATTCTAGTTCGGAAAATGCTAGAAAAAATCTTAAAAATCACGATTTTTGTAGATCCTTAAATTCCATAAAATTTATAAAAATTCCACGTTTATGGGTCATGGGGTACTTGAAAAAAATTCAAAAGCAAGGATGAGCTTGAAAAAAAGTGAAAATAGTTTTTAAAAAAATCATTCTTTTCGGACAGTGGAATCTGAATTGTTTGTAGAAAATGTCCTATTGCGGTCCGAATATCAATAAAAAATCCAAGATGTTATTTAAGAAAACACTTAAAAAATTCATAAATTGTTTAGATAATTTTCGATAAGGATACCTTACAATATTATTAAATATCCATGATTTTAAATCCAAGATGGTCCCTAAAAAGAAGTTTTCTTAAAAATACTCAAAAAATCAGAAGGAGCTGGAAAAAACCAAAAAAAAGAAGATTTTTGTAGATCCTTGAATAAATGATTCTTAAAACAAATCTTATGAATATATGTCAAGAAGGCGATTTTTGGTCGGAACATCAGAAAAACTCTCTAAACTACCGACAAAATCGGTAGTCGGTTTTCGATAGTCTCTGAAGGGAAGTTTTCTTAAAAATACCCGATTGTTGGTCAAAAGAAGCTGGAAAAATCTAAAAAATCACGATCTTTGTAGATCCTTCAATAAATAATTCTTGATAAAAATCTGAAAACATCCATGATTATTTGCCACGAGGACGATTTTTGGTCAAAAGATCAGAACAAATATTTTATTAAAATCAATGGTTTTTTGTCAGGATACCCGAATCGAAGTTTTTTTTTTCGGTCCAATGGTCTTTGACTTTCAGTAAGGGAATGGGGTACTTGTAAATATTTTTTAAACACACAAAAATATTTCCTAAGGATGTGCTTGAAAAAAAATCTTTCGAAAAAATCCATTCTTTTTGGACAGAGGAATTTTAATATTTTGTAGGTTCTTCTTATACTTCGTATTTTTAGGCAAATGGTACTTAAAAAAAAACAATAAAAAGAGTACCTAACTTTTTGGGGTCAGAATGCCATTAAAAAAAATGAAAACTGTCAAAGTTTTGTTATCAGGAGGTTCTAACAACAATCCTAGATGTATTTCCTTGGAAAAAGTTATTTGAAAGTTGCCAATTTTTTTCTTTCAGAAAACCATGAAACTACTAAATATATATTTTTTTCCGATCACAAAACCTAAACAAATTTTTTGTTGAAAACTGTCAACTTCTTATACCCTACACCACATATTGGTAAGGGTATTATGTCTTTGTGCGTTTGTAACAGGGAGAAGGAAGCGAGATAGACCCATAGTTACTTCTGAGGATATTCATAGAATAACTTTCTGAGTCGATTTATGCATGTCAGCCCGTCCGTCCGTCTGCCCATGTATTCTAGTGAACAAAATGTAGGTCGCATTTATTATTCGATTGAGATGAAATTTTGCAAACAATATTTGTTTGGCCCAATGACGAACCCTATTGAAATTGGTGATAATCGGATCAGATTTAGACAAAACTCCAATATATCTTAAACCGATTTTGTGTTAATTGTGCACCAAATGGCCAATATCAGTCCAAATTACCTGAATTTTGACACATCCAACCGAATTCAGTCTAGAAATAAGTACATCAAATTTTAAGAAAATTCGTTCAGATATAGCTATAGCTCCCATATACAGGGAGATATAAAAATGCAATAAATGCAATTATTTTTCAATTTTTTTTTAAATTATTGAATGAAAGCAAACATTTCGGAAATATCATCAAATTTAAGAATAAGTTTAGATTTGTTCGAATTAGTCACCTTTGGCACGAATTGTGGCCTTCAAACGGCCAATAAAACCGTCACACGCTGCCCGAATGTTGCTCTGCGGTATTTTGGCCCATTCCCGGCGAAGCTCTTGCTCGAGGTAATCGACACTTTGGTATTTTTTAGTGGCAACCTTGCTTTCCAAAATACTCCAGACACAATAGTCTAACAGATTGATATCCGGAGATTTTGGTGGTCATTGTGCGCTGGAAACGATGCGAGGAAGCTCATTTTGTAACCATTTTTGGGTGGCGCATGCTGAGTGCGATGGTGCTGAGTACTGTTGGAATGTCCAAGGTCTGCGGCCAAAATGTTTTCATGTCCAAGGCTTTAATACTCTTCAGAATATTTTCGCGATAATATTCGGCATTTAATCGGATGCCAAGGTCGATTAATACGAGCGGAGTGCGATCATCGGCTGGTATGGCGGCCCACACCATGGCCGGCGCTTGAGTTCTGCTGGCCAACCGAAGGTGCACATTTTCAGCTGACCTCTTTGGAAAGTAAACAGTTTTGTTTGTTTACAAACTGCTGGAGAACGAATGTTTTCTTATCGGAGACAGAGAATACCAAATTTCACGTCAATGCGAAGCAACTCTGTAGCTCCTTTGAGTCTATTTTCTTTCCGTTGCTGTTTATGTTCTTTCACTTTTTGAAATTTCAATGGCCTTATATTTGCCAAATGGATATGTTCAGCTCACGAGCCATTTTTCAGCCACCGCTACGCGGATTTCGATCAAGTCGCCTCTTTACTTTTCTAACCATTTCTGCTGATGTTGCTGTTTTCTTCCATCCACGTCCTTTACCACTTGTCGGGCTACGCTACCAGTATCACGGTAACGAGCGTTGGTACGAGACACAAAAGATTAATTCACATTTAAATGCGGGAGTGCTCTAACGATAGCCACTAGTGGTTTTCCAGCCAAATATAAAAAATCACACTATCACGCTTGAATTCCATCACGAAGAACTATTGTTATGGACAGTTCTCACCAAAATGCTTTTGTACCCTTATAAACAATATAATGAGCTGTCACTGGAATGGCTTTAACAGCTGTCAGACGAGTGGCTTAGAAATGCCAGCAACCAGTATTTTCATCTCACCCTGTACAAGGAATCTAGATCAGTACCTTGCATGGAAGACATTTAAAACGTCGTATGTCTCTAAAAGACTCAAAAGAATTTCTCCATAGAATTTTCTTACAATTTCTTTGTCTATAGGTTTACAGACGATCCTTAGAAGTTCTTCTTTCTTTAGATGACTCTCAGAATGTATTCTCTTTAACGGAGACATTCTCTAAATTGATGCCTTCAGGCTTTTTCGGGGACATTTAGACCTTTAGATGCTCTTCTCTATTTTCAAGCCTTCAGGGGGTCTTTTCTCTGTAGAACAACTATGAAAGGTTTTGTGAAGATTATTTTGAAGACATATCTCTTGGGGTTTACGTTCTTTTCTTGAAGGTTTTCTGTGTATAGAAGACCTCTACATGGTCCTTTGACTGTAGGAAACTTTTAGAGCGTCTCTGCAATATAAAGAAGGACTCCTTAAGGGTTTCTCTCTTTTTTCTGTCTTTAGCAGACCTCATAAATTTCTTTGACAACAAAATTTTTATCTGTCTATAAAAAATCCCCAGTAAATAGAATACTACTAAAACCCATGGAAGACCTCTACAATGTATTCTGCATGTAAGATACCCCTAAAATAACTTCAGACTGTAGAAATCCTATAGGATTAGTTATGTTTATAGAAAACCTCTGGCAGGACTTCGCTATACAGAAGTCCTTTACAATCAATAGCTGAATGAAAAATTAGAAATAAATAATTTTCAGATCCCCTAAATATCGTCTCATGTGCTGCTCGAATTATATTTTTAATTCGTAAACCACATGGACCAAAACATTTCTGTAAGAAAAATTAAAATGTTAAGGCCAAGGGAAATATATGTGTATATATGTTTAATTATTTATTATTACCATGTCGTATATTTACCATGTCGTATATTTAAAGAATGGATTCTAAGGAATGTAATAATGACGGGAATGATGCAGATGGATTTTATCCCGATTTTTATACAAGATAAAGAGCAGATGTTGGACGCTTTGTCTTTAGTTATTTCACTCAGGTTTAATCCAAACAAAATAAAGTTTTTATGGAGAAAAAGAGTTGAGCTCTTCATCATACCCCGTATTTACTTATGCTTTTTTAGTTGCTTTTTAAAAAATTATGTTTATATCAATATTTTTCTTATTTTCATTTATATTTTCTAAATTTTCAACATTTAAATTTTATTTCCAACATAAAATTATTTTCATTATTTTTTTACAAATTCTTGAATTCTATGTTTTTTCTTATATTTTTTACCACACATTTTCTTTAAGATATTCTTAAAAAACTACTTAAAATCTACATAATATAAAAATTCCATTTAATCACTAATATCTTTTTGACCTAGACTACTACTCATGGCCATGGGGTTCGGCCCATTGCCGACACCACCCCCACCGCCACCACTCAATGGACCAGCACTTGGCTCGCCATAACCCAGCTCATCTGGACGAAAATAGGAATTCTGCATGCTGTACAAACGATCTATGGGATTAATCATAGATGTCTGTGTAAAAGGCCCCATTAATTGTTGGAATGTGGAATAGCTCAAACCCAGTATTGTATTGAGGATGGGTTCGTTGGTTTTATTGCAATTTTCTGCAAAAGAATTTTTTTATTTATTTATTAATCTTATATTTTGTTGCGGACAAACATTTTTCCAATTTACCTTTATTGGTTTCTATACAACTGAAGGGTGTGCCATCGTTCTCATCCTTGATGCATGACCTCAGCTTGGCCATGGCCTCTGAGGATGATGCCGTGCCATAAGGAGCATCCATTAGCGATTCTGTGTCGCTGTGTGCCTCATCTTTGATTTTGGTCATATTGCTATTATCCGACTCTTGTGAATCTGGAGAGTCACTGTTGCCCTTGGCATGGCTGCCATCCAATTTGGCCTTCTTCTGAATCTTCTTTACCTTGGCTCGTTGATTTTGAAACCATACCTAGAGAGCCAAGGGGAAAATTAAAATAATTCGATTAATCAAATTTTGTTATTAAACTCCAGCGGCACTGTGGTTACCTGCACAATCCTTAAACTTAAGCCTGTCTCCTTGGCCAGATTCTCGCGCACTTTACGGCAGGGTTTGGGCGATACTTCAAAGGACGCCTTAAAGGCTCTTCGTTGTTGGGTATTGAGTATGGTGCGTGGCCTCTTGGGGCCGCGTCGACCATCCAGCTTTGGGGCAAACAAGTCATCGCCATAGAAATCTGTTCGCAGAAACACAAGAGAATACAATTTAAAATATTCTTTTTTTCTCTGAGATTTCTCCTCTACAAGCAACAACAACAAATAAATTACTTTCCATATCGCATTCCTCAAGTGAATGTATTCTGTTTTTTTGTTATCTTTTAACATTTTGCTGATTTATTTATTGTGGCTTGTATTGGCTTTGCTTGGCAGCTTGCTAGCTGGCTAGCATCTTCCATACTCACCGTATCCTTGCAGCATTTCCACTTCCTTTTCGTAGTCGAAGCGACAAAACAATTGGCCCTGCTTCACGACATACTGCTCACCCTTCTTGAGGATGGCACCGCATACCACACAGGCGAAGCACTTCAAATGGAAAACATTTTCGAGTGTCCTCATCACCAGTTCATCGGCGGCAATTTTGTGACCGCATCCAAGGCAACGATTACGCAGAAAAAGTCTGGGTGTATGCGGGTGAGAGGGTGTGTGTGTGGGTGGAGTAAATATATTAATTTAAATTGAGATTAATCCGTTTATTATAATAAATAATTGTTTAAAGAAAATTGTATATATCAGAATGGGGTGCAAGATGGGGAAAAGTCAAAATGTAGATCAAGGTATTAACGAGTTTTGAATGCAAAATTAGATATTTTAGATCCATTAACGGAAAAATCTTTGCATTTTGCAAAATATTGTTAATATCGAACCACCTTTTATCAGTGGAATAGATGAGGTTTCGTGAAATACATGCATAAAGGTGTAGTAACTTTTAAAATAACTGACATAGGTTAGTCCCGCCAGCAATTGAAGCAATTTAAATAGGATCTAATAATCTTACAAAATTCTAAATTTGACCTTGAGATTCTTTGTTATCCTGTTAAAACTTTGGCCTTTTAATTGGATGGACCCTTAAATTTGTATTGAATTTATCCGCATGTACGAATATCCACAATCTTTGGGATTTTACTTTGCTGACCTTTTACTAGTCCGTTGTAAGCTCCCAGAGGTCTTTAATATACCCTGCAAATGACTTGTAAATACTTTTTAGATGTTTTTAATGACAGAAGACCTTCTGAGGAACTTTATATAGAAAGCGGGCGTATTAGAGATCTTCTGTCGCCAAACTAGGTCTCTACTATATCCAAAAGAAATTCTGGAGATTTTCTATAAACATAACACCTTTAGGGGTATTTTTGACTACACAGGATGAGATGTGACAGGGTGAGATGTTCGAAAAGTAAAGAAGCGGCTTGATCGAAACCCACGTCGCAATGGACGAAAAATAGCTCGTGAGTTGGACATATCGCAATATTCCATTCGGCAAATATTGAAAAATGAGCTTGAGGCAAAGACTCAAAAGAGCTAAAGAGTTGCTCTGCTTGGCCAAAAGTAGTGAACTGCCGAATTTGGTTTACTTCGATGAGGAAACATTCGTTGTTCAGTAGTTTGTAAACAAACAAAATGATCGTGTTTACTTGCGAAAGAGGTCAGCTGAAAATGTGCACCTTCGGTTGGCCACCAGGACTCAAGCGCCGGCTATGGTTGTGGTGTGGGCCGCCATAACAGGCGATGGTCGCTCTCCGCTCGTATTAATCGGATGAATTTAATCCTTGGGCACGCAAACGTTTTAACCGCAGACCGCAGGAATCAGCACCATCACACTCAGCACGCGCCACCCAAAAATGGTTACAAAATGAGGTTTCTCGCTTCATTTCCAGCGCACAATGGCCACCAAAAGCTCCGGATACCAATCCGTTGGACTATTGTGTCTGGAGTATTTTGAAAAGCAAGGTTGGCACTAAAAAATAATATAATGTCGATCACCTCAAGCAAACGCTTCGCCTGTAATTGGCCAAAATACCACAGAGCAACATTCGTTGGCCGTTTGAAAGATATAATTCCTGCCAAGGTGACCAATTCGAACAAATCTAAATTTATTCTAAAATTTGATGCTATTTCCGACATTTTTTGCTCTCATTCAATAAAATGTAAAAATTATGGCGTTTGACTTTGGTGCAGTTTTTTTACTTCACCCTGTATGCAGCAGCAATTCTAGACATCAAATCATCAAGAGCTTTAAAAGAGATGCAGTTTCTTAGGAACCCTTAAAATGTTTTACCTCCAGAAGACAATAAAATGGTCTTTAATTCTTAGTTTAGTTTAAGACAGTCTTCTGTTCGATGAAGAGTTTATCTTAATGAAAGACTTTAAGTTGTTATTCTCTTGATTGTAGACCTGAACCAAGCTTCTTCCCATAGAGGGAGACTTTGAAAAGGTCTCTGGGGTATCTTCGATAATATTTTTCCTTTGAAGACCCTAAGAAGGTCTTTTCGAAGGCGTTTTCCATTCGTAGATGGCCACTCCTCAGAAAACCGCTCACAATCTTCTGCGAATCTTGAGAAGGTCTCCTATCACAATATATGACACTGAGAAGTGTTTCAATTCATAGAAGATCTTCAGAAGGCCTCTGAAGATCTTAAGAAGGGCTTCCAACAGTGGAATACTTTGTTGAGGTGTTTTCTATATAGAAGACCTTGCGAAGTCTTCCAGAGAAGCTATTAGAAAGTGTACCAAACCATGGTTGGTCTTTCAAACATAGAAAACCTCGAGAAGACCTTGAATCTATAGAAGAGCTTAAGTAGATCTTTTGTCCATAGGTGAACCATATCAATATAATAATTCGATCCATCGAAGATCTTCAACTAGGACGAAACATCTTTAGAGGGAGTTTCTGTCCTCACGTTCGTTCATGGATATCTTATTGGGATAGAACACTCTCAACACATTTTTAGGATGTAAGAACATCTTAAAATACCCTTCTGAGACTCAATTCCGTCGGCAGTTCCTACGTTTTTTCTTTGCCCAGGCGAGATACAACTACAACAACCGGATATCATTTATTTAATCACAAAACTGGCGCCGGACTAATCCCTCATTGCAATTATGGGCATTATGAATGTTTTTTTTCAGTCATAACAATAAAATTGGGATT